AGAAAGGACAAGTGGGATGATTTCAGGAAAACCTGGGGAGGCTTACATGAACTGCTGTAAACTGAAGTGAACAGAACCAAGAGAACACTATACATAGTAACAGCAATATTGTACAGTGATCAACTGTGAATGACTTAGCTATTCTCAGCAATGCAATGATCTAAGACAATTCCAAAGGACTCATGATAAAAGAAGGCTATCCATATCCAGAGAAAGAACTGATGGAGTCTGAATGTAGATTGAAGCATACCAGTTTTTACTTTCTTTATTTTGTGTGTGTGTGTTTCTCTTGGTCTGTATCTTCTTTCACAACTGTGTCTGTGTTTCTCTTGGTCTGTATCTTCTTTCACAACATGACTAATATGGAAATATGTTTTGAATATTTGCACATGTGTATTGCTTACCGTCTTGGGGAGAGGGGGAGATGAAGGAGAAAATTTGGAACTCAAAAAAAAAAGGAAAAAATTGTCTTTACATGTAATTAGGAAAAATAAAGCATTATTTAAAAAAAGAATTTAGATGTGATGCCATTTGGTACATATTTGTTTAATATGGATATTTATGGTCTATGGCACCTTTTAGGAAAATGTTGTTTCCCTGATTATCTGTTTTAATTAGGTCTATTTTTGCTTTTGCTTTGTCTGAGATCAGGATTTTTACTTTGCCTTTTTTTTTTTTAACTTCAGCTGAAGTATGTAGATTCTTTGCCAGGTCCTTATTTTAACTATGTTTGTGTATCTTTCCATTTTAAGTGTGTTTCTTGCAGACAATATATTGCTGGATTCTTGATTCTGATTAATTTTGCTGTCCTGTTCTATTTTATGGGTGAGTTCATCCAATCCATATTCATAGTTATGATTGCTGTGTATTTCTCTCTATTGTATTTTCTTCTGTTTCTTCTCTCTCCCTCTTTACTTGTAGATGTTTTCACATCATCTTCTTCTGAGTTTGTCTTGAACTTCCATGTCACCATAGTAGCTTTTTATGGTCAGGCTCTTTTAAAAAAAATTGCTCATTTTCCTAGTCTATTTCTTGACTATAGACTTTATGTTAAAGTTAGGCTCTACTTACTCTGGTCACTGCTTCAGGCTTTTTTACCCGCTGTTTTCATAGCTAGTTCTAGGGGTCTGTAAGTTATTGGTGTTTACAAGGTGGTGTGATTGGGAGATACGTGGTTGCTGCTTTCTTGATCTATACTCTAGTCCTTTCCAAAGTACAGCCCCTGCTCTCTGGCAACCACAACTCTTTTCTTCCCTGGAACTGCAACCTGTACTCAAGTAGGGTTCCTGTTTCCTTGCATCATACCACACACACTCCTCTCTGTCCTGGAACTGTGACCTGGAACCAGGGCCTCTCTACACCCTTACACCACAAGTAATCCTCTCTGCCTTGGAACTGCCGGGAGTGGGGGGGGGTAGGGGAGGGAAACAACAAACCTTGGATTCTGGGCAATGTTGTTGTAAAATGGTGCCTGGTCTTGCACCCTGTGCTAGGCCAGGGGTTCCATGTAATCCTTTTCTGACCAAATATTCAATCCTCTTACTGTTTCTAGGCTGTGAGTGCTTCTGGTACAGTGGCTGCCAATAATGCTTCCACAGCCTCTAAAGCAGACAGTTAAAGTCCTCTGCTGTACTGCCCTCCTTGTCAGCCCCCACGCCAGCACCACAGACCTCTCCTTCTGACCTCCCACACTGCCCTGGGCTGAGAAACATGTTTCACCCTGACCTTTTGTTGGTTATGACGCTTTAGAATTCAATTTGACATATGTCATTTTAAAGTTGTTTAGAGGAGAATGGTGGGAGAGCTTAGCTAGAAGGCTCCCTTTGTTTTACAATTTTGGCTCCACCAGTTTTTTTGTTTTCATTTCTAGTAATCTCTTGTTTTATTTTCAGATTTTCTCTTCTGTGTTTAGTTGGAGTTTTTTGGTTTTCTAATTTATTTTTAGCTCCATGCTCAATTCATTGTCTCTGTCTCTGTTTCTGTTTCTGTCTCTCTCTTTGGGAGATGAATATTTTTAGAAATATACATTTTATCTAAGTACTTCTTTGGCTGCATTCCAAGAGTTTTTGGTTTGTTGTTTCACTGTTGTAATTTTCTTTGATTAAATTTTCCATTGTTTTTGTGACTTGTTCTTTGACCCATCATTTATTTTAGGATTAAGTAACTTAGTCTCCAATTAATTTCTTAATACTTTCTTCAGAGGCTCTTTATTGAATATTATTTTTATTGTATTGTAAAGGGTATGTTAGATATTCCATATATGTGAAGTTTTATGCTTTATTACATGGCTAATATTTGTATGGGTGCCATGCTCAGCTGAGAAATATGTATACAATTTTCTATTTCTATTCAGTAATCACCAGAGACTTATCATATCTAACTTTTCTTGCTTACCTTTTTGGTTAGATTTATTTGGGTCTAAGATGGGTATATTGAGATACCTTTGTATTGTAGTTTCACTCTATATTTCTCCTTGTAAATTGATTAACTTTTCCTTTATTTAATAATCTATATGTGTGTGTATTATATATATATATATGTATAACTCATATACAGCATATATAAAATATTAATACTAATTATGTATGGTCTCTTTAAGAATAAGTAATTTACTTCTTTATTTCTGTTTTTTTACAATTGACTTGTCTGAGACTATGCTTATTATCCCTGATTTTTTGAGTTCACGTTAAGCATAATAGATTTTACTCCAGCTCATTATTTTTAACTCTGTGGGAATCTTCATGTTTCAAGTGTTTTCTTGTAAATAATATATTGTTGGATTCCTTTCTTTGCCCACCAAACCTTCCCCTCTCCAAAGAAGAGAATAGTGAGAGAGGAGCATGCTTAGCTCTAACAATTTATATTTTATGCAGTCTGCTTCCATTCTCTGTACTTCTTCTCTTATCCTTGTCTAGTCCCCAGTCACAAGTTCTTACATTTCATTTCCTTTTATTCCCTCTTCATGTTATCCACCCTCCGAAGTTGGAGTTTGTTTTATTCATGATTAATTCCTTATTGAATTTACCTTCTCTTTTAATTTTCATTGCCCCTCTATCTGTTCCCACCTTATTCCCTACTGAGTTTAGTGTCTTTCTAGACCAAACTCTGTGTATATGTGTTTAACCCTCCTTTGTCTGGTTCAGATGAAAGTGAGGTTTTAGGTATAGTTCATTAATCTGTACCCCACCCCCAACTCTCTCTTTCATAGTTGTATAGTTTTAGGAGCTCTGATTATGTGAGATAATAAGTAGTAGCATCTTACTCCTTTTTCCCCCCTAGTGTATTCCTTTTTCCTTCTCTTTTCTAGTTTTCTTAAGATCTTAAAAATATATCCAAACTTTTCCCCAACTCTGTCTTATTTGCTGTCTCTGTGACCCTTGAAGATACTAGGTGATTACATTAAAAATTACATGGAACAATATCAGATATCTTTCACACTTATGGCTACAGAAGAATTTTAAACCAAATTAGAGAGAGATGAATAAATTTTTTTGATAATTTAAATTATATGATATTAAAACTAATAAAGGTCTGATACCCAAGATATACAGGGATCTAACCAAAATACGTAAGATTAAGAGCCATTCTTTGGTGGATAAGTGGTCATAGGATAAGGAAAAGTAGCTGTCAAAAGAATTGCAAACTATTAGCAACCATATGAAAAATTATTCCAAATAACTACTAATAAAGAAGGGTAAATCAAAGTAACCCTTAGATTTCACTTCACAGCCAGCAAATTGTAAAAGGTGACAAAAGATGAGAATGGTCTGTTCTGGAGAAGTTGTGGAAAGATAGGTACACTAATGGATTGTTGGTAGAACTGTGAATTAGTCTAACTATTCTAAAAAGCAATCTTGATGTATGCTAACAAATAGACCCAGAAGGCCCATTGCTAGGCATATAATATACTCCAAGGAGGTCAGTATTAAAAACAAATGTGTCATATACACAAAGAGATTTATAGTGGCATTTTTTCAGTATTAAAAAGAAGCAAAAGGAGATGTCCCTTAGTTAGAGACTGGCTATACAAATTGTGGTACCTGAATGTAATGGAATGTTATCATGTTATAAGAAGTGATATACATAGCTAGGTGGCCCAGTTGAAGTGTGGGACTTTGAGTGAGGAAGTCCTGAATTCTTATTCTGCCTGAACTAGCTCTAAGCAAGTGACTACTTTATCGCTCTCAGTCTCTTTCGTCATGTGTGAAAAAAGGGAATTGGACTCGATGGCTCTAAGAAGGTCCCTTCCAGTTCTAAAGCTTTGATCCTATGAGTATGAAGTATAAAGAGAGACAGGGCAACACTTATATACCCTGATACAAAGTAAAGTAAGCAAAAGCAGGAAATCCATATACAAACAATGGCTACACCACTGTAAATGGGAAAGAACAACAAAGAATCTATACTGACTCCTCTATAATTAGAATGAAAATACACCTCCTCCGATCCTTTTTTATAGAAGGATATGTGGATCTATCTATATCTCTATCTCTCTATAGATATATGAATATATATATGTATGGATACATGGACATATACACATATGTAAATATATACATATATGTACACAAATGTAATACATACCTATATACATGCACATACATATAAATATAGCATGGATATATGAAACAGCATATTATTAATATCAGACTTTGTTAATGTATTGGTTAGTTTTGTTGAACTGCTTTTTTCCCCCTTCGTCATATGAAATGGCACTCTTAGGGAGGGGGGAGGGATCCACCAGGAAATGAAGGCGAAGGGAAACAGAAGATATCAATAAAAATATATATAAAAAGCTGATTGTTTTCTTTGACGTTTCCCTGCAAGTTCAAACGGGGTCTTCATTCTTGATGCTTTATTTAACCTTTGCATATAAAGACCAGGTACTATCATAATTCTTGGAATTTTATAGATTGTTATAACAATGCCCCTAAAATACTGGCATCAGTGTCTTTTCAAAGACTTTCAAATGACATATTTTTCTTTTCATTCTTTTAAAGGAGTAATTGAAACCTCAGAAATTATTCGGTCTCTCAAGATACTAGGTATAGATGTTTCTGAACGACAGGCAGAGAAAATTCTTCAAAGGTTAGCCCTTATTTTTATTTTTGATAGTTTTTTCAAACTTTCATTTCAGTGTTCCATAATACAAGCTGTAAGCCATAGAAATATGGTCCTTTTTTCTTTTTCTTTAATCTTGTGAAACACTTATTTGACTCATGTATATTGTTGATTGGATTGACTCTGTATGTGTATATAACATATGTATATAAATACATGTACATGAATAAATATACATATACATGGGCTTTAAAAAAGATACTGTGTACAGTATAAGGGCTTACTTATTTAGCGGATTGGTGATCTCATCACCTGTGAATTCCTTCTGCTAAGCACAACTACAAACTGCCTTCACCTTCTGTTTTTTTCACTGTGTAACTCCATATACATATAGCTAACATTCCTGTCTCTGATAGGCTTTATGAGAAAAGTAGAAATGGAGTAAGATGACACAGATAGGAAGAGTAACTAGTCTAGACCAAGTATACACAGAGGAACTTTGTGTCGTAGACAACACATTTTGAGGTTGAGTGAATGACAATCAAGATATATGAAATAGGGGAGGGTCCTGAAAGACAGGAAAGAATTCACTAAAAAAAGGTTATCAAGAGGATGTTAATTAGGGGCAGCTAGGTGGCATAGTGGATAGAGCACTGGCCCTAGAATCAGGAGGACTTGAGTTCAAATCCAGCCTCAGACACATAACACTTAGTAGCTGTGTGTGACCCTGGGTGTCAATTAACCCTAATTGTCTCACCAATAAAAAAAGAAGATATTAATGATTACTGACTCATCTGCCTACTTCTCCTCTCTGTAAAACCTTTATGAAGATATTTTGCATGTATATTGAAAATATCCTCACTGAAAAGATGATAAGGGAGGAGGCAGGCTTTCACAAATAATATATATGGTAGAGAACATCTTTATAGTCACCTACGTGACTGGTTAGGCTTCATGGCATAGTGGATAGGATGCTGGCTTTGTAGTCACTGTGTTCAAGTCTTGACTCTGACAAATGATAGCTAGGTGAACAGGAACAAGCCATGTAGCTTTCTAATGCTCTAGGCAGTTCTCTGTGTGTGTGTGTATGTGTATAGGGATGGGTTGAAAAAAGGCCACATTTTCAGTCACACAATTAACTGAAAGGTACAGAGAATACAAGGTCATACTGTGCTTAATGTTTAAAAAAAATTTAAAAAAAGCATTTAATTTGGTAGAGATAAATGCATCCTGAAGGTTTCTTTTTCAATAAAGTGTCTCCCATGGTTAGGTTAAGAAGAAACAGGACTCCTTGTCAGATGCAGTAGAAGAGCTCTGTGACCCTCTGATTATCAATATTAAGCAAGGCATAAAACAGGAAGACATATGGTGTTCAGAAGGATTTGCTGTTGTCTTGGAGGACAGCCAGCTCAAGGTTAAATTGAAAGAGGAGCTCTCTGTAGAAGATGAGGTACCCCTAGAGGCTTCTAAAAGGTCTTGGAATACTATAGAAATTGTCAAATGAGCCCATCAGCCTAGCAATCAACATAGGAAAGAACAGGTGGATGAAGAATGCTGAGTATCTCCATCATGACATGGCTGAGCATTCCATTTAGTTGGTCCATCAACTGATATATCTTGGGTAGACACTTTGGGTGGACAATGAGCTGGGCCCAGAACTAAATTGAAAGAGAACGGGATAAATTACTTTTGGGAAACTGCACAGAACTCTCAACAATCTAAATCTTCTCCCTGAAATAAACTCCCCGCCCTGAGTTTTCCCTAAACTCAACTTTTTAAAGCATTTTTTCTCCCAAGTCTACAGGTCATGGAACAATGCTCCATTTTTCAAAGAATCAAAATTGCTGGTGATCCAAAGGGTAAAAGAGCAACAAACATATTAGGAAGTAGGCAGCAGAACATTACCTTGTGCAAAGTACAAGTACAGCAGAACTTGTGCAAACGAGATGGTCTAAGATATATCATCTAGGAAATTTATGATTGGAAAAGGAAGTAGGCTAGTGAGAGAGGAATGGGTGGGCAGCCCAGATGTTGCAGTAGTACCCATGTGATACCAGAAGACCTAGAAGAAGGCCTTCTAAGGAAGGATATGGATAAGAATCATACAGGATGCGAAGGAATGCTTTAGTACCACCTTTCTTCTTTTAGACAAAAATGCACTACTAAAAATAGTTTTAGAATGAAGAAGTTATTTTTCAAATAAGAGCTATAGTTGTTAAGGTTTATCTTGGACTAAAAAAGCCATGGATATACTGGAAGTTCAAGGCCTTATCTTTGGTGATATGCAAAAGAATATTTAAAAAGCCATTGTTGGCTTTACAACAGTCCTCATGGTGCCTCATGGAGGTGTGGAGGTGGTTCTGGGTTCTTGAAGGTAGTGCCGATGGAATGCAAACACTGGCAGGTTCCACCATATTGGGAATAATGAGAAAAAGATATGGAATACAATTAAGATTTAACCCTGAATTATTTGAATAAGCTATTAATGGGAAATGGGTAACAGAAATGATATGAATACTGACTATAATTATTTCATTCAGAAGTTAGACCAGTATAAATTAATTTCTACAATAAGGAGTTCAAAAGAACCCAGAAAATGCCTTAGGCAGAAAGCATTTACAGGGCAGCTAGGTGGTGCAGTGGATAGAGCACTGGCCCTGAAGTCAGAAGGGCCTGAGTTCAAATTCGGCCTCAGACTAAACACTTGACACTTACTAGCTGTGCGACTCTGGGCAAATCACTTAACCCCAATTGCCTAAAACAAAATAAAACAAACAAACAAGAAAGCATTTAACTTACTTGCCAAATGTAGAGAGATGGGTTAGAATATAAACACCTTTGTAAAATCTTAAAAAGAAGAATGATCAATAATTATGAGCAGTATGATAGAGTAGAGAAAAGCAGTAGGAGAGTAAAACCAGTCTCAAGAAGGTTTAGCAAAAATATCCAACTAAGCAAAGTCACCCAAGGACATTCAAGGACGAAAATGGAAAGAAGAATACAAAGAGAATAAAAAGGAAAGTAACTGCAAAAATGTTATAAAAATGTTTTCTCCATCAAGGATAGTGGAGTCACTACATTTGGACCCTAACATCACAGTCCCTCAGTTTCTTACAGAGGAAATATAATTAGCACTAAGGAGAGCAAAAATGGATAAAGCAGCCAGATTAGATCAAGTATATAGAAAGGAGATGGAGGAAGGGAGAAAGGACAGGTGATACAATTGAGAGGGCATTGAGAAACTGATTTATGAGTGTCTAAAGGAGGAGAAGTTACCAGAGGTGTAGAAAAAAATCTCAGACTTTGCTGATTCCAAAAAAAAAAGTTTCCAGGAAGACATCAATAACTACTGACCTATATGACTACTCTCTCATTTGTGTTTATGAGGGTCATCTATACATCAATTGAAGGCATACTCAATGAGGACATTAGAGAACAAGCAGACTTTCACAAATGCTATTTAACAATGGATCACATCTTTACCAACTTACAACTGATAGAAAGATGTAGAGAAGACATCATTGTGTTTATTGTTTGTTGATTACCAAAAATAAAAAAATGAACCAAAAACCCTATTCCACCATAGCAAGATCATTCAATATTCCTCGAAAGATGTTACCACAGAAACGATCCTGTTCAATGATTGAATCTCTGATAATAAATATTAGTGGAATTATAGAATAGGGAGATGTATACTTGTCAAAAGTATTTACCATTAATGAAGAGAAGATGAACTGGTCACAGGGAAAAAGTGAGGGACAACAGGTAGACAGCAGAGTGCCTCCCTGCTACCCTCCAGATGTTGGGAGAAAGTGAGGAAGGGCCTCTAGTAAATTGGGTGGACCTCTCAGTGGTGAAGTTTTAGGAGGACATAGATGAGAGTCACACAGGACAGACAGGCATGGGTTGGTTGCGTTCTTCATAAAGGGATCTCCTGAACTGATGAGATTACTGACCCATTAAAGCATTTGAGTTGAGTTTTTGACAAGAACTGCTAGAACTTCTTGGTGCTGGTGCTGGTTCTGAATGGTAGAGGATGTGATTACATCAACAACACTGCTGCATTGTTATATTACTAATTAATTAGTAATTATTTCTGCACAATTGATGTCAGCAGTACAGAAGGAGGTTCTAGAGCAGTGATTTCACTGAAATAATAGAGCTTTATTTTCCTCCAACTCCATTAAGACTTGAAAATCTTGATGGAGAAAGCACCATATTTGGCTGTATTTCCCTCATTAAATCCTGCTATCAGAGAATTGTCTGTAATTTCTTCAAGTGGTTGTTAGTTTGTTTCCAAATGGTTCCATGTCATTTGACTCCTGAATTGGGTACATAATGAGAGTCCTATTTCCAGATCCGTAGCTCAGAAAGGGAAGGCATACACATGAAATCCTTCTAAAGTTGGGGAAATAACAACCACAGGTAGACAGGTAAAAGAAAGAGTTCTGTTCCTTTCAATAAGCATTCATTAAGGGCTTAATGCATGCCTAGGTCCTAGGAACCCCCAAACCAAAGAGCAAAATCTCTGCCTTCACAGTTTTCATTTGCCCATAGATAAGTAAATACTTAATACATACAAATATGAGACAAAGTAATTTCAGAGTGGGGAGTACTAACAACTAGAAAAATCAGGAGAAGCCTCTTATAGGAGACATCTCTTGAACTGAGCCATGAAGGAAGCAAAATTTTCTAAGAGGAGAAGGAGGTGAGAAAATGCTAGAAAATGAAAATGGTTCCAGGGTAATGACCTGCGGTAGTTGCCAGAAATATGTAATATGGAACTGTTTTCCATCTAGATGGATTACTAATGCTAATTGCTGCTGCTAATTTTATGTATGAATTAGAGCATAGGTTTTAAGCATGTCATCATTATTTTTTCAGAATTGATACTGATGGGACTATGTCAGTGGACTGGAATGAATGGAGGGATTACTTTTTATTTAACCCAGCAGAAAACATGGAGGACATTGCACGGTTTTGGAAACGTTCTACTGTGAGTGTAGTTTGCATTATACCGCATGTTTATTTTATGCTCTAAGCCAAAGGTATAGCTCTCACATAGGGAAACCCCAGGAAGCTTGGTAGAGCAACCCCTTACTTAGCAAGTTTTGGACTGTGCCAGTCAGACTGATGAGATCATATGGTTTCTAACTCTCCCTCCTGCTCCCTAGCCAAGGGGTTTTAATATTTTTTGTGTCACAGAACCCATTTGGAAGTCTGGTGAAACCTATGGACACTTTTCCAGAATGTTTTTAGGTGCGTAAAGTAAAAAAATTTCAAAGAAAACCAATTAAATTGAAATACAATTATCAAACTACTAGAAAAAAAAGAGTCAGGGATCCCAGGTTAAGAATGTGGACAGGGCTGACATTCCTTCAGAGAGCCCTGTGTTAAAATTGTATCTCCTTCTGGTTCCCCTGATTGCTACTGCCCTGCCCCAAGTATAAAGGGGTGATAGGGGCAGCTAGTTGGCACAGTGGATAGAGTGCCAATGTGAGTTCAAATCCAGTCTCATACACTTACTAGCTATGTGACCCTGGACAAGTTACTTCACCCTGTTTGCCTCAGGGTGAGCTGGAGAAGGAAATGGCAAACCACTCCAGTAACTTTGATAAGAAAACCCCAAATGGGGTCATGGAGAGTTGGGCACAAATGAAATGACTGAACAACAACATAAAGGGGCAATAGCAGGAGATAAGATTGCGAAGGGAACCTGGGAGTCATGTATAAACCATTCCAAAGATTGAAGAACCATAATTTACAAAATATATCATATGTTAACCCAAAATCACATCCTGGTAATATGTGTGGCATCAAGAGAAACCAACAAGGTGTTCCTGTCAAGGTTTTTGATCCATATTACCCATCCTATGTAAGGTAAGGGAAAGTTGATCTATGTAGAAGAAAATGGTGCTTTTTTTGGGGGGGGGTGATTTATAATTGAAATTAATCCCAATTCTGTGTGAACTGACATTACATTGATTTATACCTATGTGCTTATCCTCTTCTATTTGACAGTATACTTAGTTGTGCAAATTTATTTTCCCAACTAGACTGGAAGCTCCTCGAGGAAAAGGATCATATCTTATTTAACTTTATATTCCCAACACCTAGTACAATGCCTTAGACCATAATAGGCAACTGTATGGAAATTATTTTTTGTTATGGTCCCCATGACCACCTGCCCAGTAGTGTAGTACGTATGTAAGTAGCCAGTGTAAGGTAACAATAAATAGGCTATAGAAACTAAGAGTGTAAAGAAGAACACAGAAGTCACTTGCCAAAACTGCTTCCTAAATTAAGGCTACATCCAGACTCCATGTGCTAAATTAAGAGAGGACAGCCAGGCCCCAATAAATGGCTCTTGGTCTGTGCAGAAAAACCAGATAAAATGTTATACTAATAAGGCAACCCTTAAGGTGGTATGGATGAGACTTAGCCTGTCCCTGTCACTGGAACCCTATAGGAATGGGATTGAAACAGGATCTGAACTCAGGCCCTCTGACTTTGATGCTCTTCCCCCACTACTTCATGCTGCCTTCTTGAGATGGTCCGTTTCTAATTTAAATAATATGGTAACTTCCTTTTCATTTAGGGGATCGACATAGGGGATAGTATAACCATTCCTGATGACTTCTCAAAAGAAGAAAGAGAATCTGGCATGTGGTGGAGACATCTGCTGGCAGGTGGAATAGCAGGTTCAGTCTCTAGAACTTGCACAGCACCCCTAGATCGGCTGAAAATCATCATGCAGGTAAATGGTTGCTTGTTTCATCTGTCTGTGTTTCCAAGTAATACAACAAGGGCTCAGTACTGTTTAAAAGAAGTATTTCAGATCTCAGTAGTGCTTTTGATATGTGAGTTTGACTTTATTAGGGAAATACAATTTAATATTGATTTAAATATAATTTAATTTAATTTAGACCTAATGGCTCTTACTTAATGTATGACACTTGGGCTACGTAAATTAAGCATTTTATTAGAAATTGTCACAGGATCCATGAGAATAAGACTTTTAGTGCTTGGAGGTTGAAATATTGGGCTTCCTTGAAGAATAATTTCATGTTGCTTCATGCGGTGAAATCTGTTACATTGTAAGTGCAGGGATCTTTTCTTTCATCCATGCAGATCACAGCCTCTCCACGCCTCATCCATCTCTTTAATTCTTGTGCTTGTTTTTCCACAGACTTTCATAAGTGATTTACCAAACTTCTCATTTTGTATTCTACAGGGGATTGATGTGTTCCCAGAGTCTTAGCCAGAATTTATGAGTGTTCAGTCGTTTTTCAGTCACGTGTGACTCCTCGTGACCCCTTTTGGAGTTTTCTTGGCAAAGATGCTGGAGTGGCTTGTCATTTTCTTCAGATGAGTAACTGATGAGTAACTGAGGCAGAGTTAAGTGACTTGCTCAGGGTCACACAGCTAGTGAGTGTGTGAGACTGGATTTGAACTCAGGGAGATGTCTTCCTGACTCCAGGCCCAGCACTCTATGTACTGGGGCACCACCTAGCTGCCTTATGAATTCATGACTAGTCCACCTAATTTTCTGATCAAATATTTTCTTGCTGTCATTTATACCACTTCTTTCACAGAAGTCAGTCAATGAGGAAAATGAAAGAGGTGGTATTGTAAAATAGGCCTCTGAGGAACCTTTTAGTCCTCTATCTATGGTAATATGCTTGGGTCCATCATGATTCTTTCAATTACCTTTGGGTTGGTTGTCAATTTCGCGCTGAAAATTCTGTTATCCATGTAGTTATCCATATTTATAACATCAGTGTTTGTAACCTTGAGGTTTTTTTTCTTTAAAATTTTTTTATTCCGAACTTAACAAACACCATAAAAATTTTCCATGCACAAAGTACAATATAAAAAGGGGATTTTTATGAAGCTGCGGATCTCAATTACATACCACTTGTTTTGAAAAGTATGTAATAAATCCAATATATTACTTTTAAAGTTGGACTGCAATGTGTGTTTTCTTCTGAATTTCCTTCTATTGTGTTTTGTGCACTAAAAAAGTTTCCAAAATATCCCAGTGTAACAAATGAGTATAGTTAAGAAAAAAAAATCCACCCAGTGGGTGTTATTTTTTAAAAAGTATGTCTTTTTCTTCATCTTGAGTCCATCACCTTTCTGTCAGGAAGCGGACCTCTGTTGGTCATTATGTTGGTCAGAGTTTTTAAATCTTTCTTTTTTTAAAAATACATTTTTATGTATTTTGGTAACTATTCCCCAATTACATTTTGCTGGGAACTCTTAAATTGTTCACTGCAAAGGGAGCATTTTTTTCATTCCTTAATGTAAGTTTCTCTGTTACACAATTCTCTTGGCTCAGAATATATGTAATTTCATTTCTTACAACCAGATGTAACATTTCTTTTTTTTGTCTTTTTTTTTGTTAATTTATTTTGATTTATCAACAATCACTTCTATAAGCTTTTGAGTTTTAAATTTCTTAAGTCTTTCAATGCTGTTTATCTTTACAATGTCGTTACTGTATAAAGTGTTCTTTTAGGTCTTCTTACATCATTCTACATCAGTTTGCATAAGCCTTCTAAGGTTTCCTTGAAATCACCTCTAATCATTTATTATTACAGCACAATAATATTTTTTTTTTTTAGGCAATTGGGGTTAAGTGACTTGCTCAGGGTCACACAGCTAGTAAGTGTCAAGTGTTTGGTCTGAGGTAGGATTTGAACTCAGGTCCTCATGACTTCACAGCCGGTGCTCTATCCACTGAGCTGCCTAGCTGCCCCCACAATAATATTTTTTTAAAGTTCCTAAATAATAATTTATTCAGCTATTCTGCAGGGGATACCTAGCCTTTAATTTCCATTTCTTTTCCTTTTTCTTTTTCATCCTCCCTCTTCAGAATCAGGAAGTTTGTTTTGCCTTTGACCAGTCCTGCTCTGGTATTATCCTCCCTCTTAACTACCCCCATCCCTATTCCTAGCTATTTCTCTGTTGAGTTTGATGTATTTGTACACCAAATATTTTTTTGTGTTTATGAGTGTGTTCAGCCATTAAGAGAAAGATTTATTGCATGCTTCCTGCCCCTACTCCTTTTTCCATGTTTGCATACTCTTTTCATACACCCCAATTACGAGAAATAGCAAAATCCATCCCCTTCTTCCTCCTTTCTATACTGGTATATTTCTTCTACTTTTATTTCTCTTTCCCCTCTTAAAAGTCCAAGAACAGAACCAATCTACCTATAGGTCCTCTGTTTTTCTTATTTAACTTCCTCAGAACTCTTCAAAGACTTAAGTTCTGAAGGGACACTTGTGTCTTCTCCTCAATTATAATATTAACATCATTATGCAACCACCTATAATTGTTTAAACCACTTTATATTTCTAGGTTTCTCTTGATTTCTATGCTTACTTTCCAAAGTTCCAACTCAGATCTAGTCTTTTCATTAGAAATGCATAAAGGTTCTTTATTCCATTAAGAATCCATTTTTGCCCCTGTAAGATTATACGCAACTTTGTAGGGTAAGTTATTTTTGGCTGTAAGTTGATGTCTTTTGGAATATCATCTTTCAAGATCTCTGCTCCTTTATAGTAGTAGCTGCCAAATTGTGTGTGATGTTGAACCTGTTTTCTTGCGACTTGAACTGCTACTTGTGTTATTTTATCTTTTATGTGGAAACTATGGATTTTGGCCAAGATATTCCTGGGACTTTTCTTTTGGGGTTCCTTTCAGGTGGTGCTTATAATAGATCAGCACAGTTTTCCCTAATGATTTTTTGGAATATAGTGTCCAGGCTTTTTTAAAATCATGGTTTTCAGAGAGTCTAATGATTCTTAAATGATCATTCCTCAATCTATTTTCTAAATCAGATTTTTTTGGTAGCAGATTCCTTATATTTTCTTCTATTTTTTTTTCTATCTTGATTTTTTTCTAGTTTTTCTTGTCTCATGGAATCATTGATTTCTGCTTGGCCTAGTCTAATTTTCAGAGAGTCCATTAATTGGATTAGGCTGACCATTTTCTTTTCTAAGCTATTTATTCTCCATCCAGTTGTTTCCTTCAAAGATTTTATTTGAGGTAATCTCTAAGGATGGTGCCGAATGAGCAATCTCACCTCTGACAAGAAGATTAGATTCTGGAGTTATACCACCTAGGAAATTAAAATCCCCCTCCTTTACACATGAGGTTGGGGTTCAAGAATATTGTCCATGAACTTCCCTCTTGGGGGGAAGTTCTTTCTGAAGACATTTCTGCCACCTGCCAAAGACTTCTATCCCTACCTGTGTGGTCACATCACCTTTTAGTGCCTTTTCCTCTGAGATTACTTTCCACCCACTTTGTGTATGTCATCTATGTGTATAGTTATTTACATGTTTTAAATGTAAATCTCCTATGTTTCTGCCATGTGCTTCTGCAGGAACTTTATTGTTGCCCTGACCATGGGCATATCTTAGGCTAGGAATGTCCATTCTATAGAACTTAACTCCTGGACCAGGTGGATAAGCATATGTATTATTCTTTCCCCAAGTGCCATTTACCAGTTCTAATGGAGAGGAGAGAGAGAAATCCCCTCTCTTGTTCTACTCCATTCCATTCCACTGTGAAAGACTGATAACAGGGGAAAGACAAAAGGGCAGATAAGGCAAAAAGGACTAAGTGTAGTATATTGCTTTTTTTTTTGGTAGATTAGCAAAGAGGTTAATTCCTCCAACCAGAATTCCTCCTTTTGAGTTCCAGTGAGCTATTCGTATTGGGACTGTCTCAGTCACTGAAAATCAATCAAGAGTTGTTCACACCCTCTCCATCAGTGGGAGTACCCACCATCCCACTGTTTCAGGGGAAAAAGTACATTGAGATTTTTTGGGGTGGGGGGCATTACTCTCTCAACACTTCCCCTCTTATATTATAAAGCTACTTGTGAAGGAGTTTTGTTAATGCTGGATTAAGTAATACGTAGGTAGGAGCATCAGTTTTTCTTTAGGAAATGGAGGGATTTCTTTAGGAGATAAAAGCAGTTAAGTCCCATGTCTCAATACTATAACATAACTTATCTAGATATACAGAGATACTTCACGTAGTGATCCTTCTGGGAACAAACTACCTTTTTTTAAAAAAAATTAATTCAACCAGCTGCTGTTAAAGTTCTATTCCTTTGAAGGTATGAATAGAGTAATTGGTATTCTGGTAGATATAACAGACACATGTGGCTACCCTTAAATATAATAACAGCAGGTCTTACTTGTTTGATTCCAATGACTCAACCTCAAGTGTAGGGGTCAGCCAGTAAGTTGATAAGTGTTTATTAAATGCTCCACATGAGCCAGAAACTTCACTATGTGCTGGGCATACAAAGACAGGTAAGCACAGTCACTGCCTTCAGAGACCTTACACTCAAATGGAGAAGACAACATGTAAATAGATGATATACACAAAGAGATTGGAAAGTAATCTCAGAGGAAAGGGCACTAAAAGGTGGGAGCGACCACAAGTAGGGGTTGAAGTCCTTGGTGGGTGGCAGAAATGTCCTCAGAAAGAAGATAAACACAGTGAAAAGCAGAGGGAGCAGCATTGGGGTCTGTCAGAGATGAGACATCATGAATCAAGGAGAGATGGGAATCTGGGGACACACAGTGGGGGGAAAAGATGAAGGGAAATGAGAGGACCTAGAATGGGGAGGGAAAAAGGAGAGAAGTATGGGGAAGTGTGTTGAACAAATAAACACACCGATCATGCCACTCTTAGGAAAGAGACACAGGAGGGCTTCTAACACCTATCTCACTAGCAGGTTCGTTTTGATCTGGTCAGACAGGAAGATGGGAATGGAGTTATAATAAGGGGTTAAATAAGCTTACTTTATTCTAGTCTAGTATTCTCAGAGGGAGTTTACTGATAATGGGAGCTCCTACTCCTACAGCATTTCCTAACAACCCTTCTCTCAGCGGCCGGCGTGAAGGCGGGGCAACTACCCCTCGTCTCGATGGGGTCAGTAGAGACCAGCACAACTTGTGCTCTCCCCTAAATCTCCTAAAGCCTCAGAGGGGGCTAGTTAAGGCAAACACACAGATTCCCCCTCCCAAGCCTTGATGGGGGGCCGATCAAGGCACGCATAGCATTCAGCCTGCACATTCACCCCAATGGGGCTCCTCAGTAACTGACCTGTACCCACTTGCTTTATAGGGCAACAGACAAAGAAGGCATATTGCCAGCATTAGCCTCACAATTTTACATCACTTCCTCCCTATATCTACTGCGCAAGCATGGTAGAAACTGTTTTGAGCCATGATCGTGAGAACTCATATCGAACACCTGGGAAGTAGAGATTGTTATGGCTATGGATACTGGAAAGAAAACTCTTAAGTAAGAATAACAAAAAATCCACTTTACACACACTAAAATTCACCTTACTTACAAAGTGAGAAGAAGAAAAGAAGGAATTGGGATAGGTAAAGAGAAGAGGACAGAAGTAGGGTTGAAAAGATGGGAACAGAAAGACAGGGATGGAGAAAAGAGGAAGAGGATTCAATAGCTACATGCTGAATAGATGCAAGAAATGTTTTTCTCTCTTCTGTCTGCTGTTCAATTCTTCTATGGCGTCTTAGAGTATTCTTATGCCTTCTATGTTATTGCTCTCTCAAAACGTTTTGTTTGTACCTTTCTGATGCATTATTATTATTGTTGTTGTTTGTGAAGCCATCAGGGTTAAACGACTTGCCCGCGGTCACAGAGCTAGTATCTGAGGCCAGATCTGTGCTCTGTTCATTGCTCCACTCTGATGCATTTATTGCCCATTTCACATTTGGGTTCTTTATGTATCTCATCATTTCCTCTGCTAGATTTTTAATTCCTTGAAGGCAGTAATTATCTCTACCTCTCTGATCAGTCCCATCTTCCTCCCTTCCCTCCACTTCAGTGGCTTTTCACATGGTAAACACAGTTCAACAAGAAGAAACACATTTATCAGTGGTGTTTCTGACTACAAAGTGTATCACTGGATCGTAGCTACTTTATTAATAGAGCAAGGGGTAAGCTTTCACACAACATAAGGAAAGATATGCATGTGATGAAATGAGAAATACTCTTTACTAATAAAACAGTCATTTGCGTAAGTTAACAGCTGTACTGATGCCTGCCAAAGTTAGCTGTTCTTTTAAAGAGGACTTGTAAATTTTTTTTGAAGACAATCAGGGTTAAGTGACTCGCCCAGAGTCATACAGCTAGTATCAAGTGTCTGAGGCTGAATTTGAGCTCAGATCCTCCTGACTCCAGGACCAGTTCTCTATCTACTGTGTCACCTAGCTGCCCCCTACTGTACTTTTCAATAACTAAGCTGTTTTAAGAGTAGTCATAAATTTCAAAGCTCAGAATGATTTTATAATGAGATAAAAGCAAATGAGTTAATTGTAAACTGCTTTGCTCAGTGTCTGGTACATAGTAAGTACAATATAATGCTCATTATTATTATTGTTATTAGGTGAAATGGACCATGGGCTGCTAAAACACATTGAAAACAGAAGGTGCTATGTGCAAATGCTTTGTAAAAAATAACAACACTGAGGCCATTTCTTTTCTTTTTCATAGATCCAGGATGTACACTCAAAACGCATTCATATTGCTGATGGATTTAAGCATATGTTGAGAGAGGGAGGTGTCTTATCCTTTTGGAGGGGAAATGGTGTGAATGTTTTAAAAATTGCACCAGAAACAGCTATTAAGGTCTTAACATATGAGCAGGTAAGATATTACCAAAATTCATTAAGAAGAAACAATTTTTGAGTTTTAAAAAACCTTGAGACCATTTTAGCAGAAAGATGAATGTTGTTTTTAATATAACAAATTAGTTAATTGCTTTATTTTTCTGAATATTTGTTATAGCTCTATTCATCATCCTATTTATAAAAAAACTAAAATAGGTCTTTGAATAATTCTGGAATGGCTGGAATTATAAATTTTGGCTAAAATTCTTTAGTTTAGAAATCAAAAAGCTTCCTACAGTAATCTAGCAGTTTCTATTAGATTATCATGGCCTTGTCTCCAAGAAAAAACCATTCAAATTAAACATCCTTGCATAAACAAGCCATTGCCATACATTGCATTGTTAGTCTTACTTCTGAATCCGCTTTGCTATCAAAAAGGTGCCTATAAGATACAGTTCCTACCTCTTTTGAGTTTCTTTCAAATGTAGTATCTTATATCTGACTGTGCATACACAGCAATAGTAACGTGACAGAGAAAAAAAATGAGGCCCAAGAGAGGTAATTTACTTGATATTCTAGTGAATTAAATGCACATACATTTAAACTATACATATTTTGCTGGGTATGGGCTCATAATAAAAGAAATAATACAGAATGACATTTATATAGACACAATATAGATTTATACTATAGAGAATATATATAATTATAATATAATATAATATAATAACATAACAATAATACCTAACAATTATAAACTTTACAAATTTATGTAAGTAAAGCACTGTACATATGTTATCTCATTCAATCATAATAATAGCATTGTTAAATAAGTGGCATTCTTTTTGGAACTAATCTTTCTCTTATTTCAGCATTAATATATATGTGAACTCTTTTATTTACACACACAGTATAAGAAGTTGTTTACTTATGACAGTACCAAAGTTAGCAATATGGAGAGATTTGTTTCTGGTTCTTTGGCTGGAGCGACTGCACAGACCTTCATCTACCCCATGGAAGTAAGGACCATTGTGAAAACCTGATTGCTGGAATTGATGATTTTAATGTAAATTATAAAATGTGTTTCTTTCTAATGAAGCCCTGAGTAGGTTTTTGAACTTTAAAGATAAGGAGAGGAACGGTAGGATTTGAAGCTGATGCCCTCAGGGCTTGGAATGTCTAGTTTTCAAGCCAAGTTCTTCCAGAGTCTGGTAGCATCCCTGCCTCATATTATTCCTCTCTGTGCGCCCTTTATCGCCTCCATGCAGGTGACTTCCTTTCTAGCTCTAGGTAGGTAGGCTCTTTCTAATACTTTGGACCTACTCCACCCATTGACTATTGCCCATTTCAAAGTGGATGTCCCAAAGGCACGTCAAACTCAAAGTGCCTCAAACTGAGCTCAGTATCTTCCCCATCCCCAAAGTTTTCCTTCTCTTTGCCAATATGTATTCTCTTAATTTCCATTTCTTGCCTTTCTGTAGTGGAGAGCAGGATTTCAATACCTGGCTTGTATTCTTTTCTGCCCCAACCCCTGATCTCATACGCCTTTGTACTACCCTCATGACACACAGCAATGCTAACCCTTTAACCTTCATCCACCACTATTCTGTTTTATTATACAGAAATGTGAATTTCTTATCTTTGATCACAACCTCATATCCTCCATCCATCCGTCCACCTTGCTCCAGAACCTAGTCTTTGTTCTCATGATATCTAGTTATTCTATCCCAGCCCATTACTTTCCTCCCTTTTTAGCACCGACCCCAGAATTAACCTGTTCAACTATATGCCCTCTACTGTGCCTCTGTCAGTCTCATTGCTCATGACTTACTAAACCACAACCATGGCTTATATTACCATCCTCCTCTCCTGCTGGGGGAAGTTGCAAACCATGCCAACTAGATCCCCCACACATTGATGCTACCTAATCTCAAATGGTCCCTCAGTGCTACATGCAATCCCACGCTGAATTCAAACAGAGGGACTTCAGTTTGAAACTTGGCTTACTATCTGCATGACCTAGGATAAGTCATTAAGGTAGTCTAAGCCTCAGTTTTTTTCATCTTTAAAATTAGAAGGTTGAACCGGATGACCGCTAAGGTTCTGTCTGGCTCTAAATCTAGGGTTCTATGTTTTCTTGTACTTCCCACAACCAGCTGCTGGAAATGTTGTCTTCAAGCCCTCTCATACTGGCCCCTCTTAGCAGAAGACTTTGCCTCTTAACTCTTTTGAAAAAATAGAGGCCATCACCTGATCTTCTTGTTCACCCCTATTTTATGTATCGACATCATTCCCCACACTCTCTTTCTTTGTTCCAGTTTCTGACAAAGAGGTGGCCCTTCTCCTGGCCATGCCTTCTACTCATGCCAGTAATCAATTCTTCATTTATTTAACTGCTGCTCATAAGCCTCTACTTTTTCATCTGATTCTCTTTTCTAACCAGCCAGATTGAATCATGTGACATGATAGCTAAGTAAAAGGACATCTACTTAAAATAGAGTGCAAGATGTAAAACAAGGAATGAGTCAAGCAGCAAGCATTCTCACCACTCATTTCCCAAGGCACAACAACCTTCTGAACTTGTGGGGAATGTGGCCTCCCAGCTCTTCTTCCCATGCTGGCTTATTGGCCTTGTCCTCCAAGCTGGTAAGTAGAACAGGAAAACTGGAAGACAGGTTTGTGAACCAATTCTTTGTGCCCACCTCTAGCTGCTCTAGCAACGTGTTGTAGCAACCTGAGGAAAGGAAAAAGAGATGTTTGCGAGCTTGCTCAGAGTGAATCCAGCAGCCTTAGATTCTGCAAGGTCTTGCTTCGCAGTGCCAGGTCAGTGATGTCTTAAAATCTTGCAAGTGTGGCTTCTCAGAACAAGCTGTCCATTTGGGAGTATGTCTGGAGCTGTTGTTTGGGGACGTGGAAAAGGGAAAGTCTCCTGTTAGTGGTGGCAGGAATTAGAAACAGCTATGTGACAGCTTTCAGTCTCCCTAGCCACTGTCTTCCTCTATCTTTTCCAGAACAGCGTCCCAAATCTTCCAAAATCCTATCACTTCCTAGAATTTGGATTCATTCTCCTACTAGCTGTGCTGCAAAATCTTTTGCTCAACCAGAATCAGTCTAGGGGTATCTGACATCACCTGTTGCATTTTGGGTCATAACTGGAGCTGGAAGGGACTGTAGGGGCCATATAGTCCAACCCTTTTATTTTATAGATGAAGAAATTGAGGCTGAGGGGAGGTTAAGTGACATTCTTTTCACATGACAAGGTCACAGAAGTAGTAAGCTTCAGAGGCAGGATTTGAACCCAGGTCCTCTGTCTCTAGAGCCCATGCTCTTTCCACCGTCTCTCACTGCCTCCCACTTCATGCAGGCCTATGGCGGATGTAGCTGTCAAGGAGAACATGTCCCACCTACACTTAGAGTTAGTTCATACACTCATCTCCATTGGCAGTCTTATGAAACCTCTGCATGTTGCCATCAATTTCTTCATTGTCCTTTGGGTCATTTGCCACCTTGATGTGATGTTCCATGACTCGCCGTGGAAATTACACTTCAGAAAATTAAGTTGGGAAGAGTAGCCCAGTAACACTTGAACCAAGTATGCTCAGAAGTAAATTTGCAGGCATCAAGGGATCATTGTCCGGGACGTCTCAAAGCAGGGAAGATACCACATAAAAGAAAAACAAAAATATGGAGGTCTGAGGTGGTCCTTGAGAAGACTGGACATTATTGACCTATATGAATATTTTCCCATTTCTATAAAATCATTACAATGATAATGTGAGAAGGCAAGAGACAGCCTTTACTAGTCAATTTTCTGTAGTAGGCCAAATCTCCAAAATCATAGAACTGATAGAAAGGCATGGAGAATATGAGGTATTTATTGAAGATCCTGTTGCTTTTGGTGTTTATTGATTATAGAAGATTCAGTACACTAGGGCAAAGAGTGAAAAGAGTCTCTTAGGCCTCTGTTAAGATCATGTAAGATTCTTAGAGAGATGCAAACAGTGGAATGACTCTGTTCAGAAATCTTCTGAATATCAGCATGAAGTGAGCCCCAAAACATGGAGACATGCAGGTGCTAAAGGTGTTTGACACTGTCATGGAAAATGTCTTTCATAGAATCCTAATGGACTCTGGGGAGTCCCTAGAGAACACATTTTAAAGTATACAACACTGCCTTTCTTTTTCTTTCTCAAAAAATAAACCCCAACAATTTACTTATTTAACATTTTAAAAAATATTTGAGTTCCAAATTCTCTTCCTCTCTCCAGTCCCTCTCCCATCCACCAAGAAGGTAAGCAATATGATACCCCTTATCAACTGCCTTTCTTGTCCGTGTCACCTTGTGAACTTTCTTCTGTGCTGTTCTGCATATTACTAATGCATTTCATTGATATGCTTTCATATCTTTCTTTTTTTTGCATCACCATCACTATTCTCCTTCCCCATTAACAGCACTCTATTGTAACAAATAAGTATAGTCAAACAAAAAAAAAAGTGGAATTGGTTATGCCTGAAAATCAGTGTCCCATTCTGTACCTCTCTCCTGTCACCTTTCTGCCAAGAGATGGGAAGCATGCTCCATCATCAGGCTTCTGGATTTGTGACCGGTCACTGCATTTATCAGAGTTCCTAAGTCTTTCAAATATGTTTGTTCTTTATAGCAGTATAGTCAATGGTTCAATTGTTCTCCTGCTTTTGCTTACTTAATAGTAGTAATAATAATAACTGGCATTTATACAGCACTTTACGAATATTAACTCATTTAAACCTCACTACAACTCTGTGATGTAGGTGCTATTATTATCCCCATTTTACAAATGAGGAAACTGAGGCAGACAGAAGTTAAGGTGACTTGCCCAGGGTCACACCATTAGTACGTGTCTGAGGCTGGATTCCAGGTCTAGCACTTAATAATAATAATAATAATAATAATAATAATAATGATAATAATAATAATAACAGCTAGCATTTATTTAGCACTTACTATGTGCCTGGCATTTTGATAAACTCTTTACAATTATTATCTCATTTGATCTTCATAAGAACCCTGGGAGGAAGGAACTATTATTATTCCCATTTACAGATAAAGAAACTGAGGCCACTTAGCCACCTAGCTTATAACACCTTGTCTCAGTTCATACAAATCTCCCCAAGTTTCTCTTTATTTCTTACAAGCGCAATAATATTCCATGACATTTATATGTCATAGTTTGTTCAGTTATTCCAAAGTTGATAGGTACTCACTTTCTTTCCAGTTCTTTGCTATAGGTAAAAATGCTACTATAAATATATTTTTTAGTTATGGATTCTTTCCCTGTTTTATAGAGTATGGTTTTGCTCTGTCAAAGAACTTATACAGTTCAGTGACTTTTGCGCATAATTCCAAATTTCCTTCTAGAATCATTAGACTACCCACTGTGCACCAATGCACCTGTCCTCCCACAACCCTTTCCACAGTTGTTGTTTTCCATTTTTGTCATCTTTGTTAGTTTGATGGTACGAGGTAGAACCTCAGAGTTGTTTTAATGTTCATTTCTCTTATTACTAGAGATTTGGAACATGTTATATTTACTTCCAAGTCTCTTTCCTTATTCCCTAGCAATTTCAATACATGGCTCACAGTCTTCTTTTTTATTTATTTTATTTTATTTATTTGTGTATTTTCACAGTCTTCTTTACTGAAACTCCTGCCTACCTGGACCTCCCAGTTCATCCACTTTGTTAGCTCTCGTGGAATCTGCCTCCAATTTGGTTCCTGTCTACAGGAGCCCTGCCCCTTCCCTGCCTTACTGAATTTGTCCCAGGGACTGGAATTCTTAATTATGACTCTAGATAATATGAATTTGTGTTAGACTCAGTCATCATGCTTTCATGACTTCCTTGCGTAGGACTGAGGTCAGCAGATGTTGTCAGTGGCCCCAGGTTGAGGAATGGCAATAAATGGGGAAGGGGAAGGGAAAGGGGAAGGGGAAGGGGAATAGTGATTCAAGGAGACTGAGCAGTGTCTTATTGAATGAGTTATGTATAAGGTTAGTCTTATAAGGTCAAGACTATGAAGGGAAAAAATGATGTTAGAATCGGGGTGATAGAATAAGAGAGCATCGAGATATGGAGGGACTCAAGATTGCAGGAAGAGTGACAAGCAGGTGTCAAATAAGTGAGACAGAAGGAGAGGCAGAAAGACATCAGAGAGGGGAATTTCAGAGTTCAAGATCATTGGATACTGGTGAGTTCTAATATGTGGGTGACTTGGTGGGTGACTGAAGTAGAGTAAAGCTGGGGCTGGAACAAGTTGAGGATGTCAGCAGACTAAAAGACATAAACATGAATATTGGCATCTCCAAGAATGAAGGTAGGGGATAGGATAGAGAAGACTGACCCAGCTGGCTAAGTCATTGAGGAAAAGAAAGAGAGTAGCCTGAAGGTTAGTAGGTGACAGCAACAAGGACCTAAGCATGGATGGATGGAGTCAACTTCAAAGGAGAAATTGCTGAGTGAAAGCAGGTGGGTCTGGAAGTAGCAGTGTAGAACAGGAAGCAGGCTTATTGTTCTTCCTGGGCCAGTGTGCTGAGGGGCATGAGAGTAGGAGAAGCTGGCAATGGAAAAGGGAACAGAGGAGAGCCACATTTCTAGGAACTCTAGAAGATGGGAAAAATATGATATGAACAAATCTATTAATAATAAATAATAATCATACAAATAATTATATATAATGTATAATATATTATATAATAATAAACACACTAAATATATAAATAAATATAATAAATAATAAAGTAAAAGGGAGTTTTCTGGTAGAGCAGAGAAGCTACAGAAGGCACAGTGAAAGGAGGCAGACCCTGGATTGAGGAGGAAAGACTAAGCATGATAGGAATGAGTATGGGGAGAGTTATCAGGGGGAAAAAATTACCTTGCAAGTTTCTGAATCACAAGCATTACAGGAGCAGTAGCAGAATGTACTGTCCATAGGATAGGGGATATAACAAGCATATGAATATACCAATAACTCATAGAATTTTGATTATTAACAATAACCACCAATATTCATATAGCACTTAAATGCTTCAAAGCACTTAACATATTTTATTTCATTTGGTCTTTTAAACAATCTGTCTTTCTCGTCTTCTTTCATATTATTACCTTCCACGTACTTTGTGATTCTGCCATACTGGCTTATTTGTCGCTTCTCATGCTTGCGTATCTGGGCCTTTGTACTGGCTATGCCCCATGCCTCCAGTGCTCTGCCTCCCCACTTTTGCCTCTTAGAATCCCTAACTTCCTTTGAGGCTCAACTCACATGCCACAGTCTGCTGGAGGCCTTTCCCAGTATCCCATGGAACTGTAGCAAGATTTTACCAAGCTCAGTTTGAACAGCCTTGCTGTAGACAGTTGCAAATATACACAGCTGAGAAAATGACTCACTGTAAGATTTCTTCCTTTCTGGAGTTCTGTATGATATTGGTGAAATAATCCGTTAGCTTGTGAGCTCCTGGAAGGTAGGGATGGTTTTTGGCCTCTTTTGGTATCTCTGGTGCTTAGCCTGGCATATAGTAGATGCTTAATAAATATTTATTAACTGACTGAAATGACATAGCTCATTAGAGTGCTTTGGATTTAATAAATCTGATTGGAGATTTAACTACATTCTTTTGCATTCAGGTTTTAAAGACCAGGTTGGCTCTAGGCAAAACTGGACAATACTCCGGAATGTTTAATTGTGCCATACAGATAGTGAAGAATGAACCCCTTGGAACTTTTTACAAAGGCTATGTACCTAATTTTCTGAGCATCATTCCTTATGCTGGCGTAGATTTATCCGTCTATGAGGTGAGTTTACTCCCAAGATAAGTTATCGCAATTGAGTTAAGAAGAAATCTAATCTTCGGTTATATTTAAAGAAACATGCTACACTATTTTGGCTTTTGATAACAGACCACTTTAGACAGAACAATATCTATTTTGTTTGTTTAATATGTTAAGAGTCTCTTTTTGCTAATGGTACTCATTTTTTGATTATCCTCATGAATTATTTTTGGCTTTAATGATGTTTGACCCCAAATATATATATGCTCAAATTTAAAGATGAGGAAGAAAAGAAAGAGGCAGTGAAATATTGTCTAGTAGAGTTAATTAAAAGATGAGGTTGGTCAAACACCATAGCCAAGGTCTCTTATTTTGATTTCTATGTAGTCTATTTGATTTTAAGTGGTTTGGTGGCCACAAACCTATTCCCTGAATCCTGACAGGTCGTCTCAAAAATACATACTTCATCAGGATGATCGAGTAAGAGTTGATCAGGCAATTAGAGTAGCACAAATGAATTAGCCCTACTGAAAGCCAATCCAAAGCACAGGCTCTCTGGTGGTTTTGGCTTATTCTGTGTGAAGTGTAGCATGTTATTGAGGTTTGTGGTGATTAAAAAGGTCTGAAATTAATCATTTCTGGGTGATTTGATGATTTTATTAATAAGGCCAGCATGTATGTCTCTCTTAGACCAAAGACAATCATGGTGGTGGGCTCACAGTTTATATACCCTTCAAAGAGAATGTTCCTGAGGGGTGGCAATCGACTTTGATTGGATAACACAAATCCGAGGTGAGCTGTATTAAAATGAGAGGCTAAGAGTGACATCAAGCCACCTTGGACAGAGAAATTACCCCTATACTCAGACCACCCCTTAGACAAAAGGCTCTGTCTCCACCCAAGCTTAATTGAATGAGATTCACCTGGTCTAGAGATTCCTTGTAGGTCTGGGTTGGGTCAGATAGAGGAGAAATTAATTCAATTTCATTATCAGTAATGTCCTTCAAGAGACTGAACGTTCTACTTTTTAAAATCAGGACTTTAGAAGAAGGGGAGAACTCTGCATCCCCCCAAGATATTGGTTATTGCTAATTATTTCTCTCAGATTGTTCATCCAAAACTGCAATTTCATTTGTATAGGGAACTCCCTGTGAGGAAACACACTCTAACAATACAGATTGGCTTTGCAACTTCTAGGCTTTGGGAAATAGCCTGAGGGTATTGAGAATTTGAGTAACTTACTTGGGCAGCTAGGTGGTGCAGTGGATAGAGTGCCTGTCCTGGAATCAGGAAGACTCATCTTCCTAAGTGCATATCTGGCTTCAGATGCTTACTAGCTGTTGTGACCCTGGACAAGTCACTTAGCCCTGTTTGCCTCAGTTTCCTTATCTGTAAAATGAGCTGGAGAAGGAAATGGCAAACCATTTCAGTATCTTTGCCAAGAAAACCCCAAATGGGGTGACAAAGAGTCAGATGTGACTGAAATGATTGAACAATATAGGATCACACAGGGGGAATTTCTGGATTCCCAAACTAGATCTCTACCCTTTAAGCCTCTCTATTATTGTTTTTTTTAGGACTTAATGCATTAACTTTTAGGAGAGGCAGTGTGATGGACTAGATAGAGATTTGCCTTTGAGGGTAGGAAGACCTGGGTTTGAGTCTCAATTCTGTGGGAGTAGCTGTGGGACCCTTGGTAAGTCATTTAACCTTTCAATGCTCTAGACAACTCTTGAGACTAAATTGTAGAGAAGATGCTGAACTGCATTGGTAGAGGGAATATTCTCACTGGGAGTTCCCTATCCAAATGAAATGACAAATCTGGTCCCTATTCTAAATTTTCTGAATGCATTTTTTTCTTTTGCTATCTTTGTGCTACTTTGTGCTCTAGTATGAATGTCAAACTACTTCCATCCTTGCATCTCAGCTCATTCTAAGCATTTTACCTCCAGATAACAGCTGACCCAGACTCTGATGGCTATATTTAAAATAATAAACACTAAATAAAGATTCTGTTGAATGTAATGATTTATTCTCTCTATTTTATGAAGTTATACAATTTTCAACAATGACTTCAGGACTCAAGTATAAAGTTCAAAATCCTTCAAGAAAACACAGATAATTTAAAATAACTGTTAGTGTGGCGGCCCTTTCAAACAAATTTTAGTCTAAAACTGTGGCTGTGGCTATGATTCCATCTATAGCCATTTAGAAGTCACAGAGCATTTTAGATGGGAGGGATCTACAACAACAGAACCAGCTTCCCAGATTGTCTTGCCCTGAAGTAACATCGGCTGGCAGAAATGGTTTTGATATATTGGGTTTATAAACAATTTCAAGGGGTCAGACAAGCTTTATTCTAAAACATTGCTAGAATGGTACATATCCTGCAGTAGCTGTAGAAATAGCTTCTCCCTTTCCCCACCACTCTCTTTTGGCAATAATCTAGCCTACAAAACCAGAGTCAGCATGGCAGATGGCAAGGATTTCATATGAAAGAGAAAAAAGTTTTAGTAGTTGGTTTTTCATTGCTATTCTGCTTAGATTTGCAAATAATTGCTTCTGTGTTCTCTAACAGATTTTGAAGAATTATTGGCTAAATAATTACGCGGAAGACTCTGTAAACCCTGGCGTATTGATGTTGCTGTTATGTAGTGCCTCATCTAACTTTTGCGGTCAATTAGCCAGCTACCTCTGATCCTAGTGAGAACTCGGATGCAGGCCCAAGGTGAGTTTCTGTCCAAGGCCACACAGATAGTGTGTCTGGACCACAAGGCCAGCATTTAAAGCACAGTCTTCTGGTTACCAATGGAATACATTTTCCTTATGTCCGCACTGGGGGCTCGAGAAAAACAACATGTGCAGAAGTAAAGGATGAGAATTAGAAGTTAAGCTACAGATCTAGCTGATGAGGGTGCAGTTATCCCTTCCACATCGCGACTTTCCCCATTAAAATTTTGTTATAACTTATAGCATAAAAAATGAAATGGGAATTTTTTGGGATTTTTGCTGAAGCTGCAGATGACATGAGGCCAGCAGATGACACAAAGCCCATGACCTAATGTTTAACCCAATTTTTACAACGAGGTACTATAAATACACCATAAAAGAAAAAGAAAAAGGAAAATTCAGACTTCTTTTCTGGTACAAAGGGAGGGACAAAAAATTTTATGTGGATTTTCCAGATTGTGGGGGCGTTGCACCCCTAACTCCTGAGATGTGGAAGGGATAACAATATGCGGGGAACGGAACAAGTATTTAAGCGCTTTCTATATACATAGTGTGAACTCTATTAATGTTAGCTATTTTTATACTATGTACCTGGCACTGTGGTAAATGCTTTACATGAATTATTTTAGTTTGTCCTTGCAATAACCCTAGGAGGAAGGTACTATTAATAACGTCATTTTTACAGTTCAGGAAACTGAGAAAGAAGTTAAGTGATTTGCACAGGGTCACACAGCTGAGAGTGTTGGGGCAGAATTTGAACTCAGGTCTTCTTGAAGCCAGGCCCAGGGCTCTATCCACTAGGCCTAACTGCCTATATGGGTACAGGCAGAGAAGAACCAGGAGTTGTTTGCATAATTTGATGGATTGTGTCACATAGGAATAGGAATCAGCATCTAAGGAACCCATGCCATTATATCAGCTGGACCACAGGAAGATGAATGAATGAAAAAGCATTTACTAAGTGCTTTCTTACAACTTAAGGTCCTAGGGTGGTCCATAAAGAACTAAGAGTTTGAGGTAGGGGGAGGGACCAAGAAGCCAGGAACTTGTGGCAGGGACAGTAGAGCTGGGGTGGAGGATGATGGGAGGTTAATGAAGAAGATGAGTTGGAATTTTAAAAAAGTAACAGCTGGGGAGAATTCTTTTTTCTTTTTTTGGTGAGACAGTCAGGGTTAAGTGACTTGCTCAAAGTCACACAGCTAGTAAGTGTTAAGTGTCTGAGGCTGGATTTGAACTCAGGTCCTCCTGACTCCAATGTCAGAGCTCTATTCACTGTGCCACTAGCAGCCCCTATGGGGAGAATTGTACTCTTAAACCTCTGGTGGAATGAACTGGTGTGTGTTGGGGTGGGATGTTAAGGACTGACGGCTGCTGTAAGGAAGTTAGGCCGCCTATCGTGGGTGTATGATATAGGCAGTCTACTTCACAGTGTAGGAGGGGCACTGGGGACACCAGCCAGAGCCCAGGGATACTCTGGCGACACTAGCTGGCTCTTTGTGTGGGTGGAGTAGCATACATGCACCAACAGCCTGGGCATTAATTACTCAATCTTAAGCAAGAAAACCCTTTATATCCTCATTTATAACAAATCGCTGTTTAGTAGGCTAAATTCTGGGGAAGAGGAAAATGAGGAGGGAAAAGTGTTTCAATGGGAATGGGAGGGTTCGATCGGTGAAGAGGAAGGAAGCAATACTTTGCCACACAACTTCTGCCATGGAGTCACCTGTGTCTTTTAATAACATATCTTATGGATACTTTTTGCTTTTTATACTGCTAGTATTTCCTAACAAACCCTTCCCTGGCCCAAAGAATAAAAGTTAAACATGGGTTGTTTCTGACAGAGTATACAGCATTTTATATTCATAGCTCAGGGAAGCTTAGTTGCTGAGCCTGGAGTCAGGAGGACCTGAGTTCAAATCTGACCTCAGACACTTAATAGATGTGTGACACTGAGCAAGTCACTTAACCCTGTTTGCCTCAGTTTCCTCATCTGTAAAACGAGCTGGAGAAGGAAATGGCAAACCACTCCAGTGTCTTTGCAAAGAAAAACCCCAAAAGGGGTCACAAAGGGTTGGATATGACTGAAAAACCACTAAACAACAACATATCCATAGGTCACCATCTAATTACCAAGAATCTGGAAGTCATCTGTTATTTCTATACCCATTAGATACAAAGACAGAGAGGGTAGAAAATTGGTTAAAGTATTATGTTAGCTAAGGGAGAAAAAGGGTTACTTAAGGATCGGGATAAGGACCAGACCTATGATTTAATTGGTATAAGGAACTCTCAGTGGGAAAACTACCAATGCAGCTTGGCACCTTCCCTGTAACTTACAGCATTAGAGAGTTGCCTAGAGGACTAGCAGGTTAAGTGACTTGCCCAAGGTCATATAGCCAATATGGGTCAGAGACAGGATCTGAACCTAGCTCTTCCTGGTTTCAAGGCTGATTCCCTATTTCCAACATGCTGCCTCATCCATATGTATTGTAATAATAGTTTTATTGTAAATAGTTACATTTATATAGATGCTTTATACACATTGTCTCATTCAATCCTCACAACAACCATTTGAAATGGATGCTGTTATTATCCCCATTTTACAAAAGAGGAAACAGAGTCAGAGGTTAAATGATTTGCCTGGGGTCATAAGACTGTTAAGTGGCTGAGATGTGTCAGCACATAGAAGGCGCTTAATAAATGTTTATTGACAAGTTATTGAATGCAGGTCTTCCTTCCTCCGAGTACATCATGCTGTCTGCTCGTTCACCTGGCATCGGGGCTGGCATTCTCCTTGAGGTCTTTCGGATTTTGCAAGGTTTTGAGTTGCTGTAATTGTTGGCTGGGTATGGTCCCGAGACCTGGACTTTACGGGAGCAGTTTCTTCAGTAATGAAGTGCAATCATCTTGAAGATCTGTTTTTTCCTTGCTTGTTGATGATACCTAACATAAGAACCTGCCTGACTAGGTAGTGATGACTTTATTTCTTGGATAATTCTGGCAGAGAAAGTACAGGCTGCAGATGTCTTTCTGGGGCATTGTAGTTAATACCACTGTGTTTAGCTTTATTTAGGGTGATGATAGAATTAGGTTGGCTAGGTTAGAATTTTATAGGTAATTTCCACTCTATATAATAGGATTGTATATAATTACAAATTTTTTTTTAATGGTTTTGATCTGTTATTTCATTCTCCCAGTTCAGATAAGCAGCTATTCTTCAACTTTAGAGGACTGTCTGGACACACTAAAAGCTTAAATGTTTTGCTTCAGACCAGGAGTGGGGAAACTGTGGCCTCAAGGCCACATGTGACCCTCTAGGTCCTCAAGGGTAGCCCTTTGTCTGAATCCAAACTTCACAGAACAAATCCACTTAAAAGGATTTGTTCTGTAAAACTAGGACTCAGTCAAAAGGCCACACCCAAGGCCCTAGAAGGCCACATGTGGCCTCCAGGCTGCAGGTTACCCATCCCTGTTCCAGAGTCACAGTCAGTGAATGTCAGAAAGGAGACGTAAACCCTTGGGGCTGTCCCTCCATCCCTAACCCTTGGGATACCATAATAAAAATCTGCTACAGGAAAATATTAGCAATATCTAATGGAATTTGGCATTGTGAAGACCTCCTTGTGAATAGTGTAGGTTTTTAAAGAGAATTAGAAAATGTCCCTGCCATTTACTATGATCAATGGGCCTGTTCCAAAATGTCTTACAGAGGTTTTCTACAGTAGTACAAAGATCCAAGCCAAACTCCCTGGCATCACAAAGAAAAAAGGCAGAATAACAGTTGACAAACCAGAAATCCAAGTGTCACTAAAACACCCATCTAATAGTTATAACTGTTGTTCTTCACACATGCTTGTGAGGGGAGATGCTCATTGTCAGCTTGTACTTACAGTCCAAGCTTTTAAAAAAAACTTGGTATTGTATTAAACAATAGTGCAACTATATTATATGTACTATGTTAACATAACATTAAAACACGCAAAAACAGACTTGGAAATTAGTATTAAAGTAGTCTGATTTTTTTTTCATTTTTTTATCTTCCATAAAAGGAGCTCTGCAGCGGAACATCTATTATTTCTTTCAAGAAATAATTGTCAAAGAAGGGCTAACAGGCTTATTCAGGGGCATCGCTCCCAACTTTGTGAAGTTGTTTCCAGCAGTTGGCATCAGCCGTTTGGTGTTTGAAAAAGTACAAAAAAATTTGGGAATATCCTAGAAATGAAATGTGTAAACTATTGGCACTGAGCAGAAGGGCTTAAAAACACAACAATTCCTGGACTGATTTTTTTCTTTTAAACTGTAACAGATCCATGTGAAGAGATGTGGTATCCAAGAGGAAGGAAGGTATCAAATACCACCCAGAACATCTTACTTTAATTTTGTATATGCTGGAATTTAAATATTAAATCATAATTTTGATGTTATTTATAAATGAAATCCTTAATATGTTTAGAATTCTATTTGCCTTCCCTACTGAGATCCCTTGAGTCCTAACCTGAAGCTTGCATAATTGAACTGAAACACATTTTAGGATGAGATTTATAGTGGGAAGTAAATTATAAAAGTTTTGGTGTGCCTTAACAGCTGATGTTAAATGTTTTATACCTTAACTCCTAAAAGGCTTTATGTTGAAATACTACGTACATAAGTCTTTAAAAACCTCAGTGCTTCAATGGATCTCTACATTTGGGTGTTCTTGTCAATGGTGCAGATGACAAGCCTAGAACAGTTTTCTATCCTGTGTCTTCTGTCACTTGAACTTTTCCATTGGTGGTCCTCCCATGGTGTCAGGGCCCTTCCTCTAGACCTCACCACTTTTTTGTGGGTTACCAGTGTGGGCTGTCCATTGCTATCCCTCTCCCTTGCTACCTGAATGACCTGCTTCCTTTGCTAATTATGCATCTCTGTGATGCTTCTGCACAGACCTCCATTGCTGGTGTACTACAGGCTACTCACACTCGTTGCGCTGTACTTTACGGCCATTTGAAATTTTTGTTCTTTAGAGGTGTAGGTGTTCCATGACTCACAGCCAAACATCACCACCAGAAGAATGTTAATATCAGCCTTTTAGTAGAATTGAGAATCATGAAAAGTTAATTAGTGGAAAACGTTAATGAATTAAATTAATTAAAACATGGAAAAATCATTCTATGTGTATAATGTATACATATGTATCGAACACAGATATTTGTATAATGGTACATGTCCTATAGCTCAAGATTCTACCTAATTTCCTACATTTGGTTCAATCAATACTTATCAATAGGTATAGGTACAGAAAAACAAAATACTATGTAAGTGGCTATCAAGCTCACTTTTTATTTCTACCCAAACAACCAGATTATTGACATACATCAAGTTTTGTGCAGCCTTTTGTACACCTGTGAGATTGCATCTGTAAATTCAATGGAACATCTGTTGTCTGCCACCCTTGTTACACAACCTGCCCAGGATCTGTAAGCATTAACTGTCTTCATATGTCTGCTTTTCCTGACCTCCTACAGAGCTCTTGACATATCCTCTAAGTGCCTGCAGAGAATTCTGTAAATTGTCATTACCTTGGCTTGTTGGGGAAACTCAAGCTGCTATTCTTTGTCTGCAAGTAGATCTTTATACTCTTAGCCCAATAAATTAGAAAAATTTCTTAACGTGACCTTTTGGCTGGCAGAGGGTCTGAGATTTTTAAAGTTGTTTTTCCCCCCCCCCAGCATTTCGATTATTTGGGAAGAAAATTCAAAATACCATGAAATATCTTTATTTTCAGCAAAAGAAAAAAAAATTTCCAGGAAAACAGTGGCCTTGCTAAGAATGGACTTAATTTTGAGCATTCAAATCCCATGTGCTATCAGAACATAAAATGAGATTCTATCTTTGATATTTTGAGGTATTCTTGAACTTCCTCGGTGTTAGGCATTATTTCACTAGCATACTTAGCAATACCACATTGCCTTTTCAATCTTTTTGATTCTGGTCGACATTTTCCTACAAATCTTCCATGGGGAAACTACTTAATGCATTGTAGATACTTCTTATTAGATTAAATTGGCTGTGGTTAATTAGTTAAAATACATAAACTATAGGCAAGAATAGTAATGACCATGGCTAATGCAATAAAATTTGTCTTTTCAAATTCCAAGCATTATCCCTCATTTATAAAATCTTTTCAAAAAGATATCCACTCTGGAATAACTACCTGTTAGGCCTAGTTGTGCCCTTTTGGGCCAAACAGAACACGCTTAATATATTCATGTAGCCTTTCAACCATATCTTTTCTTCTCCCAGCTTTTGTTGTTCTGTTGTTTTTCAGGCCTGTATCACCCCATTTGAGGTTTTCTTGGCAAAGATACTGGTGTGGTTCCAGCTCATTTTTATAGATGAGGAAAGTGAGGCAAACTGGGTTAAGTGATTTGCCTGGGGTCACACAGCTAGTAAGTAGCCCAGGACAGATTTGAACTTAGGAAGTTCCTGACTCCAGGTGAAGCATTCTATCCACTGTACCACCTAGCTGCCCCTTCTCCAAGCTAAGTGTTGTCATTTCCTTCTACTAATACTAATATGGCATGAATTCAAGCCCCTCACCATCCTAGTTGTGCTCCTCCAGACACTATTTAACATATCCATATTCTTTCTAAAGTACTATTCCCAGAATGAAACAGAGTACTCCCAATGTGCTCTGAACAGTTTAGAGCGCATCGGGCCTATGACCTTGTTAGTTCTGGACCCTGAACCTCTCTTAGTGGAGCCTGAGATTACATCAATTTTTGTGGTTGTCATTTCACACTTATCTTATAGTACAATAAAAAACGATCTTGCCACACCTTCCTCATTTGTGTGAAGATGCCTGATTCTGCCATTGTCATGAAGTTGTTTTCTTCAATCCAAGTGTTAGATTTTATACTTATAGCTACAAAGTATATCCCAATCAAATCCCATATCCATCCAGCTGCCAATTCTTGTTGATTTTATGTCTACAATTCTTTTCTCTCACATTCTTCTCTTCACTCACACCAAAGCAACCTAATTCAGGCCTTTGTGTGATTTCACCAGGAGTACTGCAGCAGCCTTCTAATTGGTCTTCCTTCATCCAGCCTTTTCTCCAATTAATCTTCTGTGTAGCTGTCAAATTTATTTTTAAAAATTATTTATTTTGTTACATTTTAAGTTGCAAACTATCTTTCTACCTCCCTCCCCCACCCCATCCTAGAGAAGGCCACCATTTGACACAGATATATCTATGTCTATATCTATATCTACGTCTACATCTACACCTATGTCTACATCTACATCTATATCTAAATCTGTATGTCTATGTAAAATCATACTATGCATAGTTCTGTTTATCAGTTCTTTCTCTGGAGGCATATAGCATCTTCCTTCATAGGTCATTTGTAGTTGATTTGAGTATTCATAATACTCAGAATAACTTAGTCATTCATAGTTATCTTTTGAACAATATTCCTGTTACTATGTACAACCTTCTCTTGGTCCTGCTCATTTCACTCTTCATTATTTCATGAAGATCTTTCTATACTTTTCTAAAACTGACCTGCTCATCATTTCTTATAGCACATTAGTATTACAGTTATTCCCCATTTGATGGACATTCCCTCAATTTCCAGGCTTTTGCTACCACAAAGAGAGCTGCTATAAATATTTTGGAACATAAAAGTTCTTTTCCTTTTTCTCTGATCACCTTGGGAAACAGACCTCCTAGTGGTGTTGCTGGGTCAAAGGGTTATACACAGTTTTATAACTTTTTGGGCATGATTCCTGATTGCTTTCCAAAATGGTTTGGATCAGTTCACAGTTCCACCAACAGTGTATTAGTGTCAAATTGATATTCTTAAAGCACAGGTCTGACGATATCATTTTTCTGCTCATGAAGCACCAGAGACTCCCTATTGCCTCTAGAATAAAAAACACAAACCCCTCTGTTTTGGCATTTGAGGCCCTTCAAAAGCTTTCTCCAACCTACCATCTCTTCAGGCTCGTTACACATTACTTTCCTCACAAACTCTAGATTTTAACCCAACTCACCTACTTGTTGTAAATTGTCTACGGCACTTCTTTGTCCCTTTGCAAAGTCTGTCCCTTAAGTCTGGAATGTTCTCCTTCAGCCCCCTCCCCTTAATTCCTTTCAAGACTCTCAAAGCCAGCCTTTAACCAAAGGCCTTTCCTGATTTCCCTTAAGTATCCCCCATGCCCAATGAAATTTCTTTGTATTTCTTTTGTTTTTATCTGCATGTATGTTGTTTGGCTCCCTCCCCCCTCCCAGAAAGCAAGCTTCTTGAGCATAAGGTCTGTCGTTTTTACCTTTGCATTTCAAGTGATCTGGCCCTGTGTTCTAGCCTGTCAAGGTGTTTTGGGTCCTAAATTTGTCATCTGCCATGGTAGCTGTCCTTCTTAGCTCTGGGTCATTTTTGTTTTTGATGAGCACACCATTTGTCACTTCTTTGAAGTCCCTGATACACATGTAAAACTGAAGGGAGCAGAACATTATTTTACCATTTTAGGTAGTAGGGCCCTTTAAGCCATGGAAAGCAGAAATTACCGCTTAATCCTCTCTCCTCCTAAATCTAAACAAGAGTGAAATGTACTGTTGCATAGCTCAGCCTAGCCCCTAGTTCCAATGCAAATGGATAAGAAAGCTTGCAATATAATTGCTTTAGATAATTGTGTTTATACCAGAGACCAGGACACTTGGTCTGGTTTGTGTGATCTCTGACCCGTAATAATGGGGGTGCTCGGGTGCTTGTGCTTGTACTTGTGCCCCAATTTCTCCCTAGTCTCAGAAACACTGTCTCTAACAACCATTCCCCAGCCCAAGGACACTGTGCCTAGCAGTTATTCATGCATGGGCCTCAGCATGACCCTTATCTCTCTCCCTGGTACAGCTACACAGAGCTGGGCTGCTCAGGCCCCAGACCTCAGATCATGTCTCTGGAAGCCTCCCAGTTCCTCAGTAAGTTCCTGTCTTGTGAGAAAGCTTTCCCTTGTTGCAGAGCATTCTTTCATCAAGACAGAGGGAGAGGGTTGTCCTTGGCCAGCCCAAGGACTCTTCCTCTTGCCGGACTCCAAAGATCCATCCCCCTCCCTGTCCTGTATACTCCCTGTACTTTCCCATCCATAGCCCCCAAAGACACCTGCACCTTTGGATTACCTCATCAGTGTTCCTGGCATTTCTTTCCCATGCTCTTTTCCATATAAACCCTAGCTTGACCCCTGATGTGGGCTGCTTGATTTGGATGTGCATACCCCTGGCAGCCACGCGCAATAAATCCACATTTTAAATTACATCTGGGTCTCGCTCATTTCTCGGTACGACAGTACTCCATTAAAGACCTTCCAAACTGATACTGAGGAGTTATTAATAAATATCCTTTGGGTCTTGCCATTCAATCAGTTCTGAATCCAACTGACTTTATTATCATTTTGACCACATCTCTATAATCTTGAGGCAACTAGGTGGCCTCAGGATTGTATGCTGGGCCTGGAGTCAGGATAACCCGAGTTTGATTCTTGCCTCAGACACTTGCTTTGACCTTGGGCAAGTCACCTAACCTATGCCCCACTTTCAGCTCTAAAATGGGGACAATCATAGCACCTACCTTTCCAGGGTTGCTATGAAGATCAATTGAGATAATATTCGTAAAGTATTTAGCAGAGTGCTTGGTACACAGTAGGTGCTTAATAAATGCTTATTTCCCTCCATCCTTCCATGAAGCTGTGTTGGCCCTTTTTGATAATAGCTTTCTTTTCTAGATGCTTGCTAATTTCAGTCTTCCTTTTTCGGAAGACCAGGATGAGCCTTCCTCTGGTCCAGTGGCACCTTTTCTATTATCCAAAGACTCAAAGATCACTGGCAGTGGTTCATCAGTCACATGTATTGGTTCTTTTCGGTCTGGTGGTTTGAACTCATTCACAGTATTTAGGTGCCTTCTTCCTATTTCCCTACTCATCTTAGATTTCAATTCTGAATTAGTCAGTCAACACACACTTATTAAGCACTTACTGCATATTAGACACTGTGCAAAGCCCTGCGGATACAAAGAAAGGCAACCCCTTCACCCCCACAAAATGGGCCCTGTCCTAAAAGAGCCCCAATGGACTACTACCTACAATATAAATAGATTATAAATGGCAGGGCATCTCAAAGAGAAGGCACTAGCTGGAGTGGACAGGGAAGAGACTCTTGCAGAAGATGGGATTTGAGCTGAATCTTGAAGGAAGCCCAGGAGTTGTTATCAGTTACCTATTATTACTAATAAACCATTTTTGGTCCACCTTTTTGGTCCAATGATCATTCTTCTTAGCAGAAGAAAGAGAAGCAAACTAAGAGGTGGTTCTACAATTCCTTTGATCTTCCTCTTTTCCCCAGTATAACTTAAAAAAGCTCTTTTTATCTGTCCTAAGAGAGGTAGCACCGTGTAGTGGTAAAGGTACAACTCTGGAGTCCAAATGAGTGGTTCAGAATCTGTCTCTGATACTGTACTGGTTGTGATCATGGGCAATTCTCTTAGTCTCACTGTTCAAGGTGATGGAGTATGGGCCCCAGCTGAGACCTTTGCCCCTTACCCCCCAAAAAGAATTTGGGTCTCATTTGACTATAGCCCCCCAAAAAACTAAGAAACCTAGTCTTTGACATTCTAAAGAAGAAGCTTAGTCTTTGATCCTAGTATATTTTCCACCTTTGATCTTATCTAGACCCCATTCAACCTCTTCCTTCCAGCTCTTTATTACCCTAATAAAGCCTAGCCCAACACTCCCATTCTCCCTAACCTCCTCCCCCAGTCACTCAGCAACTCTTCCCAGCCCCTCCTCCCAACACCCCAAAATTACTTGGCTGTATGTAAGAACCATCCTGGCCCCCTTTTAAATGGTAAGATTTCCTCATGCCTGCTTGTCTTTGTGGGCGTGACTAATGTTCAGATTCCTTAAGAGTCTGGCCTGTATGGGTCATCGGTAATAAAACTTTTGTCTTT